AACTATCCATAGCGAGCATGCCGTCGCCGCGGCAGCTAGTTCCACCCAACGCTCATAGATGGCGCTCCTTGCGCCGCCACCGGCCTGCCGAACCTGTTGCACGTAGACGGCGTCGGCGCGCTGCTGCCCGAGCCAGCGCCAGAGCCAGTCGGAGGCGCCAGCGCCGGCGGCGCGGCGCGGCCCAGGGCTGGCACCGCCGGCGCAGACCTCGCGCGAGCAGATGGCGACGGAGAAGAGCGAGAACAGGATGTCCAGCACGGCCAGGCCGAGCAGCACGGCGCTGAAGATGACTGCCGGACGCCGGATCACCACGTCGCCGAGGAACGCCAGCGGCTCGCCCGTCTCCTGTCGAAAAGCAGCCCGGCTGCAACGTCGCTGGTGCCCACTCGGACCGGGGTGACGTCACTACTGCACGTTGGACGGGCTGACGTCACGGGCGTCCGTACAGCAGGGGTGACGTTATCGGTGTTTGCTTCAGCGAGGTGACGTCACTGGTGCCCGCTCGGACGGGAGCTTTGAAGCTGTTTGAGAACAATCTCACACCCATTGGCTGATTTCGATGAACTATCCAACCCGGATGTCTTACCCTGCCATTCTAACCGTTTTGATACCTCCTAACTCATACAAGTCCTGGCCCTGTCCCGTGCTCCGTTCACTGATGACAACCAGTGTTTTCCTCACCCGCTGCGCACTAAATGCCTTTTCCAGACCGGCGAGATCTAAAACGAAAATGGTCGCGGTCTAATGACGATTGACGGGGCGTGAGTGTACCTGACAAGCGCGCCAAATCGCTAATGGATACACCGGGGCAGTGAAATGGTCCACTCGCTGTCCCGCCACGCCTTGACGCTGTTCGAACGGGGCATAAATACTGGAGTCTGAAGCGCGCTTTGTAGGGATTAAATTGCGAAACTTATGGTTGTAAACAAAGTATCATCTCGCGTTCACCTGGGCAAGCACCCTCACCTATGTCCAGGGACGTAGCCCGGGGGAGGGGGGGGCGGCAACGTGGTCATGCCCCCGTCGCCCGAGCCAAAAATTTGCGCACGATAGGGGCCGATATAGCAGACACTTGTTTGAAATATCAGGATTTCGGGAGAATTTGACATTCGGCCACACCTCTCATTTTTTGTGATACGTCATACGATACGCCATACGATACGTTTTGCCTACGTCACAGTATCTAGCCATGTTACTGTTTCAGCGGCCACGTGCCTTCGCACGCCCCCTGCCAAGCATCGGAGAAACCACTGCGGAGAAGAGCAATCGCTACCAACACTTAACGTAAAGGATAAGCATCCCAGAGGCTCAGCCGAAATAATCCGGAGCGGAGCGATGCACACCTATCACGCGGAGCGATGAGCGGTCATGGAGCCCCTAAAATGTCCCAGAATCCGATTCCAGGATCCCCTTCACATGGAGCCCTATGGGGTTACGGATCCACCCATGACATCCAAGCACATCTCCACCGCCGGGGAGGACAGAACGGAGGCTATCTCCGCAGCGCGAGATGCCGAAACTCACACTATCGACGTAGATGGCGCGTGAGCTGGCGTCATCACGCACGAGGCCGATGGCTGAGAAGATGACCACCAAGCCAGACACGGCCAGAGACACGATTGACATGGCCATGAAGCTCGCCTGAGGGGCGCCAGAGGGTCGGTCAGTAGTGCACAGCCAGACACACTCCCGGGCAGGGGTGCGCCGCTGTCGCGGCCCTGCATGCACCAACATGTGCACCGCAACGCAACGAATTTGGACTGTTTTGCAAACCAAACAGTCCAAATTCGTGCGATGTGCGTCACCAAGCGATGTGCGTCACCAAGCGGATTTGAAAATGACTCATTACAAACATCACGAACACAAAACTGGCTTGTTGGAACGCCGAAAACCGCTTTTGCACTGTTGGTGGGAAGATGCAAGAAAATTGTTCAATGCTAATCGTAATAATACAAACAACAAATATGATTCAAACATAATTACATGTATAGTAGCGGGACCTCAATACCAGACCAGGGTATCATGTGCTTCCCACATCATCTATAAAGCCATTCGAGCATCAGAATGGCGGACGCGAACAGACGAACAGGATCGGGACCATATCGCAGAACACGTACATGGTCGGCGTACCAGATACAAGTACGGTCGGCGTGACCTACCAGATAGAAGTAGGCGCAGGGCCGGCGGGAGGAGATGATGCCCAGGGCGCCGGACACGATGACGCAGATGCCGCCCCAGAGACCGCCGCCCAGGTAGGCTTGTGAGGACCCCTGCAGCAGCGCCAGCACGCCGAACACCAGCAGCAGACAGCCGACCAGCAGCTGGGGAGCAGCGGACACGTAGAACAGCGGCAGCAAGACAGCAGACCGCCAGCAGCAGACAGCCGGGCCGCAGCTGGTGAGCTTGCAGCACATAGCTGTGCATAACAACAGGGTGGTACCGGTCCAGAACGCCCAACTCCAGCAGTGCTTCTGGTGTTGGTATCTGGTGATGTCTGCTCAGACAACCGAGCAGCAGCCGTGGAAACGGCATTAGACAGCTGGGCTCAACAGCAGCAAGGAAACAGCTGCAAGCCAGCACCAACACTGGACTCGCGGCGTCTCATGTTTCCCCCGTCCCCACGGCGGGGGAAACATGAGACGTGCCGCGTCAGTTACCAAGATATCGGAGCTTTCAGTAGCCCTCGACTTGCGTAAGAGAGAGAGAGAGAGAGAGAGAGAGAGGAGAGAGATAGAGAGAGAGAGAGAGAGAGGAGAGCTGGCGCATCGGATAATGGCATTAGTAACGGAGATCCTAAGCTGCAGTCGGCTGGGCAATCACTTATTAAGCTTCGAGAGGAAAGGTTCCGAGTTCGATCCTCAATCGCTGCATATTTCTACACTCGATCGTGACTGCGTGCGAGACAGGCCACGCCAGCAATGACGTTCACAGCGACAAATGTGCGAGGTCCACAAAACACACTACCAAGATCTCCGGTAACCAGCATGGCTAAACACCGATTCCGTCCACGGGTGCTGCGTTACGACTTTGCGAATGTTATAACTGCGTTATGACCTCCAGGGTATCCTCGATACTTTCTCGAGCGTTTTCAAGTATTTCTACGTAATACGTTTTATTTGAGCCATCGTGTTCAGTGCGATTCCTCAAAAAAGAGACATACACGGATGGCACTTTGCCCAATCCAACTGCTATCATGAAGATATGCCCGTACCCGGCCGCTACCCAGTTCTTCTTTGTTGTCCCCACCCATTGTCCATCTGCTTACATTCTTCCAGCGCTTTATTTCTAAGCTATGGGGAAATCTTAAAAAGCCGACTTCCAAACTTCATCTTCTACGCCAATAATCGCAAAAGTCGTGTCAATAAAACCCAGCATGACAAATAAGCGCAAGCAATAGCGTTGCATGGCATTTCTTAAAGTATCTGTCCGAAGCCTTACCGACAACCAAACCCATACTCATGATTTTCCCCGCGTTTGCACCCTAGCCAACCCGTTACCCATTCCACATTCGCACCCATCGGTTCACGCAACCCGTGAATTCCTCCACTCCATGCAACGGCAAACCACAAATCTTGTAGCAGCGCCGGTAATAGAAAGACGTTCCATAAAAGAAACTATCCCTTTCTCCGTGACGTAAGAACAGCGTGAAACATTGGGCGAACGCTGCAGTGCATCACCTGGGACCCCATAAATTCCAACCAATTGGTAACAGCCTGACCATCGCCCAAGTCACTAACACGTGCGCCAGCCGCGGCGCATTGATCCCAGTTACGCCCACCTTCTCCGGAGTGCCCTGGGCGACTATGCGTGCTACAGGTAACCGGTTCGTAATTCATGCGATAATTGCAGGCGTTGGCGGCGATGTCCGGCCCTCGGCGATGGAGGCTGACGCCCATCCATCACGGGTATTTTCTAGTGGAGCCACCGGCGATCGGTGAGGTTTGTTTGGACTGATGCAGAGGGAATGACCCACGTGCTGTGTGATGCGCCCAATCGCCTAAGATGAGCACCGCTGAGTTGACAACGGCGACTCCACCTTTACACTGTGCCGTCACCCGTCACATCATGGCTCAGAGATACTGAAATGACGAAGGCTTGCACTGTGCCGTC